GAGCGCACACACCCTATAGCAAAAATCTCTCCAAAAAAAAAAAAAAAGCTACACATAGATTTCAAATTTCTTGCACTAAAATAAACTCATACTTTAATTCCATTTTTCTCTGAAAATTTTGAAGTACTGTCCTATAATGGCAAGAAAAAGTCCTCTCAGAAATGTAAGAGAATAGATAAACGTGATAAAGTTATGAACCCTGTTGGTGATATGAGGTCATCAGGAGAGTCATGATACACTTTCGCATAGAAAAACATAGAAAAATATGCCACGACTTTCCTGACAACCTAATATTTTGGGACAGGATATCATGTAGGGAGCATATCCTATCTATTCACAAGGCATCATAAACCCTACTTTCATTCATTTGAAAAGAAACCAAGAGCTCTAGCTGAACTATTTGTGATACACAGTATTGGGAATGATCTTCATTTATGCTTTTGGCTATTGATGCATGAGTATGCTTGCACCACATAGCTTTATATTATTAGCAGCAGGTATTAAATATATTATTTAGTATTAGAGGTATTAGTTGTAAGCATTAGAGCAGATTAGCATTTGATGTATTAGTTCTTTGGGGTTACAATTAAGACTTGAATTCCTTGTTGTTTTCTAATGCTTGGTAGTAACTGAATTGTGATTTGGTTGTTAATTCCACAATGAGTTCACCAACACTGACAACCCAGTACTAATTAATGACAATTCTTTATTTGCAACTGTGTCTGAGAATCGATGTTTCACATTGTTTAATAATTATAAACTTCAAAGGTGACAATTTCAGCTGCAGACAGTTTCCTTATCATGACATTTCTCATCCTAGCTTGCTGAGAAATTCTATGCCAAACTGTGGCTTTAAAAATCTCTTAAGGAATCCTGCCCAATCACTTTCCCCTCCCCCAACTTTATCCACCTGTCTTCTAGAAGCAAAGTCTTTAGTCTCTTGCTTTGACCCAAGCTCTTCTCCACCAGGTGCTTCATCACTGTCCCAGAACAGATGAGTCAGACATCCATTGAAGATAACAAATCAGTAGGTCAAATATAAAAATGTCTACTCTGTGATCAATAATATTTTTTAGGCCTTCTATCAATATGGTACTTGCAACTTGGATCAAAGGGCACTTTTAAATATTTACCAAGGTGTAACAGTAGATGGGATTGATACACTCAGCTTCATAGTTTGAACCTTCAAGTGGGCATGAAGTGGAAATCTTTGTAATTGGGTGTATATGTTTGTAAAGCCACAATACATCATGCCATCATCTTCTTAAGATGTCCTCCTAAGACATGGTATCTCTTATCTCTGAAATATGGAGACACAGCATTCCTAATTCAGAGTGGGCATTCTGGGTCTGATTTGATAATGGCAGCTGAGGTTTCTCATCAGTCAGCACAACTGTGGGACTTTCTTAGGTGAGATTGACCCTTTGTGTAATGACTCAGTTCCCACAGGATCAATCACTATCACTTTCCTCTAATGTTGTACACGATACATTCTCTTTTGTTGTCTTCCTCACTCTGAACTATGCTGTGCATAACAGCCAACAATTTGATATCCACCATTTGGAGTGCCTTTAATTAATGAGTGAAATTTGCTGTCTGCCTACACCCACAACATGTAGATATGCACGTTGGGGCACTAAAGTCAGATTCTAGTATTTCCCTTATACCTCACAAACTCCACCACTGAAGGCAGCAAAGCCTTCCCACTATCTGCAATGCCCTTCCCATCAAAAGCATCCTTCTCTGGCACATATAGGCACTCCCATTGATGAAGATGTCATCTGATGGTTCCATCTCCCACAGGTAAAAATCTTAGTACAAACACCCCAATACAAGCTGTAATTTGAACTAGAAATAGCCAATAATGATGTTCACCCTAGATCATCCCATCTCTGTTTCAACGTTGGACACCTTGGGAAGCCTCAGGCTGCTCACCTTTTAAGGATTTCAAGTCCTTGCAGACTGAAGAAGTAGTGTTATATTCTTCTCTATGCAACAATAAACATAGAAGGCCGTTGGGTGGGTGGACATGATCATCTTCTCATTGTCTCCCATTTCATTTTATACTGAGAGGTAGGGAATGAGCTACTTAGTATGTATGTGGTGACTTTCTCCTGAATAAAATGGGGTTGTCATGCCTACGCATCATACTTGGAAGATGAAGAGCATAGACAGAGAAGTGGTTCTTCAGAAGATATGCTATGAAGTGATTTCTGTACCACCTGGGGGAGGCACTAAGGGGAGGAGAATGTATTATTTAGTGTGGAAGATGTGAAAGCTGCTTTTTAGGTTGGGAAAGTGGTAATCAGACAGAATGGCTGCACGTGCATCCTCCACAATTTTCTCCAAGTATAATTCTAGGTCAAAGACTCAGGATACAGCAAATTCTCCTGATGGCCATAGCTTCGTGGACGAAGAGGAGCCTCTTTACTAGACATCTGCCCCAACATCATAGCTATAGTGAATAAGCCCTTTCAGGCTGCTCTTCTGATAGTGACGAATCTTGGTTGTAGGGCCTAGGCTGGTCCTCACACCAGGGGAAGGAGAAGGTGGGGGATACTGAGATAACTCTCTGGAATAATTCTAGCTCACTCCTCATTTCATTCCTCTTTCTTTCACACACACGCACACACAGTGAACACAAGCAGGCACTCACTAGTGAGTACACTATTAACCAGTCTTCCACACAGTGATGTCCCCCATCTATGGACACCGTCCATCACACATATAGAAATTTCAAAAAAGTTCAGGCAACCCAGGACACTATGCTTTTTTTTCTCTATGTTTTTTCTCTTTTCCCCTAATAAAAGGCCTTTTTAGAAAATATATTAAACCAGGTAAATTTTTACTCAGATGTTCATGTGGCTGGAGCAAATCAACAAGAAAAACAATCACAAAATAAATATTTTTGTTTTCTTTTTTTCTTTTTTTAAAAAAGGAACATTTCTCTCTATATTGTCTCTCTAACTTGACAGAACTGCTTTCTTGGACAGAAGGAGAACTGTCAGAAGGGGAGTTCTGGATGGACCAGGAGGGGAACTTGAAACAAGTCAGAACCCTGAAACTGGGGAGGCCAAGGCAAGGGGGCTGGAGAGAGGGAGAAGTAAGGACAGGAGCGAGGGGCTGCCCACTTGCCCACCTGCCATTAGCATAAATTTCCTCTGTTGGGTGCATTTCTCACGTTTCCCAGGGGAGCAAGTTCCGAGAAGCAGTCAGTGTAGGGGAGGGCACAGAGGAGGCAGCATACAAAAAATGAGAACCAATGTAGGGATTCACAAAACAACAATATTTTAAGAAATCTGGTTAAAAAGAATACAAAAGTGACTCCACAGAGGGGGAGGAAGAGCTCCCGCCCCTCCCATTTTTGTCCCCTCTTGCTTTCTTGAATGACAAGAATCACTTTTAAGGTTTGTTTTATATTTGTTTCATGGTTTGGCTGGTTCTTTTTCTTAATCTCTTCATTGGCTCCTCTCCTTCAATTCATTTTGGAAAGCACCAACTTTACAGATTCGAGGCCGCTGAATTTTAGCCCCCCGTGTGAGTGTGCAAGTGTGCGAGTGTTTGTGTGAGTGTGTGTATGTGTGCAATAGCTCTTTCTTTCCTGCCTGCTTCAGTCCAAGCTTCAAGGTCCCATCTGCTGGGTGCTGACAGTCTCGTGGGAGCACCCTGTTGGCACTAAGGTGAGGGCTTAGATATCTTTGCAGCTCAGATTTGTGGATCCCCTCCCTGCCCAGCATTGGAGTGGTCTCCCTCCACATTAGCTACAGAGTTTTCCTGTCTCATACTCAATAGGGTTTGGCAGCTTCGAATTGAAAGCCCTCAGGGAGGACTGGATCCTGCCCACCTCATTGTTGGCCAGCTTGAGCCGATGCCGGAGCAAGCAGGAGAAGAGATCAAGTCGGACTTTTCCAGGTGGAGAAAGCTGGTTTACCCGGTCCCTAAGCTCAATGAGCTGCAAGAGAGCTGAGTCCTGGGAACCTTGAGTATAGGGATAGTCCAACTGGAGTATTAAGTCCCGAATAGCATCAGGGTCAAAGGGCAAGCTGTAGCCAAAGACCTGCAAAGTGTTGATTTTCATGTAGCCCAAATTCTTGGAGGGGTCAGTCATCTCCAGTGGTTCATAGTAGATTGTCTCATTGGAGCTATCATCCAGGGACTTGATTCGGCTCCGTAGGTAAACATGGACTGTCTCAAAGAAGGTCTTCCACCTGTTCCCCAAGGTGATAGTCCAGTTTTGGCACTGGGCAGCTGCATCCACATTAGTCCTCTCCCAGTCAGGGAAGTCACCCTCATTCACGGGCATGAACCAACTCTCAGAGTGGCTGCCCCCAAAAGGATTGACATAGATGGCCATGACAGGCTCCAGGGTGCTGTTCTTAGTGAGGCAGATCTGCAAGGACAAGGCCAACATCACGTGCACCAGCCCAGGCTTGTACTTGTTGCTCTTCAGGGTGAGCAGCATGCGCTTCCTCCAGGAAGGATCGAACCAGCTGCCCAGACGCATGTCATTGCTGATGAAGATGGAGTGTACCTCGATGCGGCTATCTCGCTTCTGCAGCAGGTACTTCAGCTCTAGGTCCTGCAGGTCTGTCTCCAACCCAAGAAAGTTCTCCAGGGATTCAGCCACCTCTGGTCGGCACAGCCCCTGAGCCAGTACATAGCCTGGGTTGCAGCTCCCACAACGGGTGCTATTGTCTGGAGCGCAGTGGGCACATGCAGGCCCTTCGCCCAAGGCACATGGGATGGGGCCCTGGCAGGAAGATTGGTCATATGGGCAGGTGCAGCTGTGGCTCTGTTCCAGGAAGGTGCCAGGGAAGGTGCTTTCTCCACAGTAGAGGAGGGATTGGACTCGATTCCACCAGTAAGACAAAGTCCTTAGAGAGGGAGATAAAAATGAAACAAGGGTCAAAGGACATTGACAAACAGGCAGGGCAAGCAATGAAGAAGATTAAAGTCCCTGATTCTCTGAATGATGGAAACCCTACTGCTCTGCTCTTTGAGAAAATCCTGGAGCTCTGTGTCTGATGGATCAGCACCAGAAATTTTTGACATCCAACTTGTGCTGAAAGCAGTAAGGTTCATCTCTCCCAAATCCCTCATTCCCTTATTCAAAAGCCTACAGAAAATCTCCAACATCTTCTATATCATATCTAGGTTTTCAGCCTTAGAGGGCTCTCCAAACATTCCAACTTCCTGCCAACTGCATTCCCACTTCAAAGTCTTTGTCCTTTCTATTCTCTCTTTGAAACAGAATTTTTATAGCCAACTCTTTTGGTATTCTAAACATAAAGAAGTCAGAAATGTCTAAGGTGATAAATATGCTCATTACTCTAATTTGATCATTACACATCATATATGTATGGCAAAATATCTCACCATACCCAGTAAATATACACAATTATGAACAACAAATAAATAAAAATTAAAAGCAATAGATTTCAACTCTTATGTTACCTCCTCTAAGAGGTCTTCCCTGATAATCCTTTCAAAAGAACTACTTCAGTCACTATCACATCATCCTGGTTTTATTTTCTTTTTAATTCATGGCAATTATCAGTATCTGAAATTACTGTGTTTATTTATTATTTACTTGCTTATGGACTGCTTTCCTATAAATACCATGAGAGGGAGGACATTATATTATTGATCAACATAGTCTCAGAAATGAGAATTGTTGCTGGTGCATGGTAGAAATTCAAAAAGTAAATGGCCTGTCCTTTCCACTTATACTTCCCCTCTCCGCTGTGCCTCAGTGGAAGCCATGTCTGGGTTGCTGTGAAGGCAACTCCCCTTGTCCGGAACACTGTCCCACCTGTGTGTGCTAGACCTTGTCCAGATCCTCCTGCACAATCTGGCCAGGACTTCCTTCTCTAAGGACACTTTCCTCTCTGGCCTTTCCCTCTAGGAAAATATCCCTTTATGTTTCACTGCCACACATTTAACTAACTGCCAAATAGTTATAATTATCTAATTTTTGTTTCTTTTTTTTATGTTAAATCTTTCTCATTCTGTAACATGTCTAATAGCTTAATATTGGGTCATCAGAAAAGTTGTGATGTATTTTTCTACACAAAAAATGTGTCATGACTTTTCCAACAACCCAATAGTAGGATGTAATATAGACTTAATAAAATTTTGTTAAATAAATAAATGAATAAGTGGATGAATATGTGAATGCCTTCTATAACATATCCCACTCTATTCCTGAGGCACAAGGTCTCAGCTTTCTTTCCTCCCTTGACTGAGAACAGACAAGTCACTGTGTGTATTTTTCATCACTTGAAAATGCTGTATGAGCTTAAACTCCACCTATTTCTTTCCTAAAAGACTTATTAAAATGGAAATGAGTGAGAATTAGAGCATTATTAGAATAGCATTTGAATCTACTATAATTTAGATAAAAGTGAAATTAACCTCTCTCTTTTTCCCTCTCACTTCAGACATAATTTACAATTGAGAATGACGCACATGAGTAGGTCAAGAGTACAGGAATTCAGAAAGGCCAGGTGGGTCACCATTCTCGCATCTCCCATGCTGGACCTGGAGTCCTCCTTGGCCTCAGTGGCTCTTGGTGGGAGGTGCTGAGCTCTGGCTCTAGCGTTTGGAGTGCTCACCTCTCCTTGGGCAGGCGGAAACGAGGCTGCCGATGGCAGCGCTTACAGAGGTTGAAGAGCCGGCGGACAATTCGGTGAGTCTTCTTGAACAGCACTTTCAAGCTGGAGCCCAGCTGCTGGTAGCGGTGCTGGAGGTTGGTGTCCATGGCCCAGAACTGAGAGATAGCTGTGGAGTTCAGGAACCTGTCATCGGGCAGCCTTTTCAGCAGAGCCTGGAACTCTTCTGTGGGCAAGAACATAGGAGCTGCAGCTGAGAGGCAGCGACACACAGCCTTGGGAGGGGCAAGTTGGGGCTCCCAGGCATAGGCCTTCAGTCACTGCATGAGGAAGGAGACTTTAGGAGACTTTACTTCACATTTCTAGGCCCGTTTCACCCACCCCCCCACCGCCTCTCTCTCTCAAGCTTTCTTGAGAGATAATTAGCACACCAGAAAATATGGGTTCAGGATTTTCCCCCTAATATGTTTCTGAATTTCAAGAGATCTCTAAAACCTGGGACCAGCAGTTAGTGTAATGGCTATGTTGCTGGACACCCATGTAGTTGACCGCAGTTCGCATCCCAGACCCGGTGGCTTAAAACTCATGCTGGGAGCATGTGCATGTGTGCCCAAGATCCTGAGAGGAGAATGGAGGAGAAGGGATTGCGGTGTGGCCATCTCCCCTGGGGGGGGTGATTTCTCGCTTTCTATCTCTCTGTCTCTCTCTGTCTGGCAAGTGCATGTCCCCTATGTCAAAATAAAAAAAAAAAGAAAAGAAAAAAGAAAAAAGAAAAACAAAACAGATCTCTATCACCATTCAAGAGGCCAGAGAGCCTGCCTTTGCCAATGACCTCGGGATGCATCTCTTTCCTCTGCTTTTGCCAATGACCTCGGGATGCATCTCTTTCCCCTTTATGCCTCCTTGTAAGTCATAACACAGTCTTCAGTCAGTTTTCCTCAATAATATCACAACACACTTTTGAAAGATGTAAGGCACTCTTGGAGGTGAGCATGCATACCTCTCAGAAATCTTCTCAGAAAATTTTCACTCCCAGAGGTTGGCCTCTCCCCTCCATATCCTTCTCTCTGACTCCTAAGATAGTTTTCCTTTCTTTCACCCTCAGCTCTTGGCCAAATACCCATTCTTTCTTGCAGCTCATCCAAAACGTGTTTTGTGGTTCTAAACTGCTACTAAGTCTGAGTTATCCTTAGAGCTTTCTGGACACACCAGGTTTTCATAACTTAGGCTCAGATCTGTCTTCTTGCATTGCTTTGACTGCAGCCACGAGGTCTCCTCATTGAGGTCTAGACAGCTCTCATTTACTCGTTAGCAATAACTCACAGTGGTGATAACCTGAAGTGATGTTATGGAACATAACTCACCACCATTAACCCAATGCATGGGGTCAGGAGACTGGAATCTGGTATTTTCCTTAGTTACTAAATGCCTTGTCTAAGACTTGAAATTACAACCCCTTAGGTCTCAGCTCATTCTGATTTCTCATGTACCTCATTCTTCATTTCCCCAGAAGATGAGAGACTCACATCTAATAATGGCACTAACAAGCATTTGCATAGTTCATTTTATAAAATAGGTAAGTGTACAAAAGAGCTTAGATAAAAATAGAATAAGCTTTCATGTGCCTTCCACCTAGCTTTTTCCATACTGGCTTAATTTTTTAAATGAAGCAAACCAGAACTTCCAGCAAGATGGCTGACCAGATGTGCTTAATGTACTTCCCTACCACAAACAAAAAGACCAAAGCAAAGAATAAGCAGCTGACATTCTGATTGATTGAGGTCGAGTGCTATAATGGGGATGGGGTATAGATGTTGCAGATATGAAGATTCAGAATAGTGTGGTAGAGGGAAGGAGCATCTTGCATCTGCTGCCCAGTTGAGATCAGCTTGAAACTGAAAGGGGTATTGTGTGATGAGGAGAGTACAGGCCAGAGAGTCCTCAGATGCCTCTAGTAACACCATGGACACCTGAAGTCTTTACTACGGTGGAACCCTTCAGCCTTCACAGACCCTGAGACCAGTTTGAGAAGTGGCTAATGAGGCCACACCACTGAATTTCCCCAGAGGAGTCCAGGCCATGTTGTACTCCCCTCCATTCAGACTGCACTAAGCCTTCTCATGATCATGATTGCACTAAGCCTTCTCATGATCACACCCACCTGCATCCTGAAAGAGTAGCTGGGCAAGCAATCCTGCTCACAGCCACCCCTACTGGGAGCCCCTGGAGTGGTCTCACCCCTTTGCCACCCTGTGAAGAGCTAGGTGAGCTATCCCAATCACAGTCAAGCCCCTTGAGAGACCCTGGGTTAGCCATGTCTTGTGGAAGCAGCCAGAGATGTTTTAGCCAGCCATGTTCTGCCCATGGCTAAAACACTGAAAGGGTCCCACCCCACTGTGCTCTGTGAAAGTAACCAGGAAAGTGACTCAGCCCAAAACCACTAAAGCTGAGAGCTGCTAGAGGAGCCCTGCCCACTCTCCATCTCATATCCCAGGGGAACAGCCAGGTGAGTTACCCCATCCACAGTCACATGCTGTGTGGGGAGATGCTGGAAGAGCTCTACACACCAGTAGCCTATGGAAATAGCTAGAAGATCTGCCCCCTCTGCACATCACACCTACAGACAAACCTGTCCACCACAAATATATCCTGCCTCTTGGAGTGCTGGGTCCCAACCAAAAAGCCAGCCTTATAAATTCCTTCAGCCTAGGCCACTGAGGCATTTGCAGGTACACCTGATGCTGATTGCAGCTGAAGAAACTACACAGAGACTACACTACCATACCTATGTGGAACCAAAGCCAGCATACACTACCCAACTGATATCCTAGGATCTACCTTTAGGAGAAAATCTTTCACCATTAAAGCCATCTTATAAAAATAGAGCCAGTTGTTCCACCAGATGCATGGATATCAATGTAGGGACACAAGAAACATGAAAAAGCAAAGTAGCATGATACTCCCAAAGAAACACAATGATTCTTTAGCAATAGATCTCACAGAGAAGGAAACCTATGAGATATCTGAAAAGGATTAAAAATAATGATCATAAATTCAGTGAGAATCAGACTACGGTTATACAAGTCAATGGAATCAGGAAAGTAATACAGGATTTAAATGAGAAATTTAACAAAGAGATATCATGAAAAAGAACTGAACAAATATTTCAGAACTGAAAAAATTTAAAAATTTAGACAAGAGCTTTGACAACAAGCATGATAAAACAGAGGAAAGAACTTTTGAACTTGAAGACAGGTCTTCTCAAATTACACAGACAAAGAGAAAGGAAAAAGAAAGAAGGAAAGAAGAATAAAGGTTGGCTTGATGGTACAGCAGTAACACTGTTCAAATGATACTGGATCAACAGAAGATTGTTAAGTTTGATTTCCTGATCAACCTATACATGCTGGGCACACATGACCATTATCCTGGTTGGCTAGGAGGACTTGAAGGGGTGATCACAGCATAAGATCCTGTTGAGAGTGCATGCTTCTCTCTATATATCTATCTCTCCCTTTTCCTGTCTTACACTCTGATGAAAGAAACTAAAAATAATAAGAAGAATAAAAAAGAAAACCTATGGAACCAAAAGATACCATTAAGTAACTAAATATTTGCATTATGGGAGTTCTGGAAAGAGAAAAGATGAGGAAAATTATAGAAAACTATTTCATAAAATAAAAACTGAAAACTCCCCAAGTTTTCAGAGACATAAACATTCAGATTTAGGAAGCTGAGAGGTCTCAAATGTATTCAACCCAAAAGTTCCTCTCTGAGGCACATTAAAGTCAAGCTGTCAAGACTCAAAGATAAAGAGAGAATTCTAAAGACAGCAAAAGAGAATCATCAAGTTTCATATAAAGGAATATCCATTAGACCAACAGAAGGTTTCTCAGTGGAAACCTTCCAGACCAAAAAGAGAATGGATGATATATTCAAAGTAAGAAACAATAAAACTGCCAGCCAAGAATATTACACCCAGCAAAGCTATCCTCCAGAAATGAGAAGGAGAAGCAGTCTTTCCCAGATAAACAAAAACTAAAACAAAGTTATCTTCATGAGACTAGCTTTATAAGAAATGCTTAAGGGAGTTCTACATCTGGAAGCAAATGGATAATAATCATCATCATGAAAATGCTAAAAGTACAAAACTCACTTGAAGAACAGATACATAAATGTGAAAAAGAAATCAAACCTTAATGCTAGAGAAAGTCTTCAAACTGAAAAGAATACAATAAGAGAGGAAGAAACAAATGAAATGCAGAACAACTGGAAAACAATTAACTAATTGACAGGAGTGAGTTCTCACCAATAATAATTGTAATGCAAATGTATTAAACTCTCAGATTAAAAGATGTAGACTGGGACCAGCAGTTAGCATAATGGCTATATTGCAGGACTCCCATGCAGTTGACTGCAGTTGAGTCTCAGACCCAGGACTGGGTCCTGGGCGCGTGTGCATGCATGCCCAAGATCCCGAGAGGAGAATGGAGACAAAGGGTTTGCAGCGTGGCCATCCCCCCCGGAGGGTGATTTCTCACTTTCTGTCTCTCTGTCTCTCTATGTCTTTCTGATGAGCGTATATGCCCTATAGCAAAAACTTCTCAAAAAAATAAAAAAATGTAGACTGGCTGTATGGATAAAAAACCAAGACAGAGTCATAATAAACTCATTTCACTGGTGAAGATAAAGACTAAAAGTGAAGTGGTAGAAAAAGATAGTCTACATAAAAACCCAACGTGAGCAGGAGTGCTATACTTAAATCAGATAAAATAGACTTTAATTCAAAAACTGTAAGAAGAGACAAAAAAAAAGCATCATTATATTATGATAAAGTGATGAAATCAGCAAATGGTATAACAATAGAAAATATATATGCATCTACACCAGAACACCTAAATATGTGAAGCAGATATTAGAGAGACAGACTCAAGACACCAGCAGTTGAGGACTTCAACACCCTACTGTTAGCACTGGACAGAACATCTAGGGGGAAAATTAAAAAGAAATATAAAATTTAAACTATACCATAGACCAAACGGACCTGACAGACATTTATGGAACATTTCACCAAACAGCTGCAAAATCACATTCTTCTCATCAGGAACATTCTTCAGGATAGACCATACGGTAGTCCACAAAAGTCTTAACAATGCAAAATTTTAAAAACATACCTTTTCTACCACAATGGAATTAAACTGCTAATCAATAACAACAGGACTTTGGCAGTTGTATGAATGCATGAAAGTTAAACATCATGCCTCTGAATGACCACTGTATCAATGAAGAAATTAAGAAGGACATTTTAAAATAACTTGAAACTAATGAAATGAAAGCACAGCATACTAACATCTATGGTACATAGCAAAAGCAGTAGTAAGAGGGAACCTTATAACAATAAGTGCCTCTGTCAATAAAGTAGAAAGATTTCACATAACCTAACAATGTAGCTCAGGAAGCTAGAAAAGCAAGAACAAATCAAACCTAAAAATTAGTAGAAGGAAAGAAATAAAGGTCAGAGCAGAAATGAATGAAATTGAGACTTAAAAACACAATACAATAGTTCAATGAAACAGGAAGTTGGGTTTTTGCTTATTAATAAAAGAATATAGTTTAAGAAGTAAGTAAGGAATTTTTTTAAAAAAATAAGTAGATTTTAGCTGCCCTGTCATACACACAAAGTAAGAACAGGAGATATTACCTTCAGTACAGTAACCATGGTGCTATACAATACTACTACATGTACTTCTGTATCTTTATGTATCTCATAACATCATGCTGTGAACCTCAAATATATATACTAAAATTTATTTTTAAATAAAGGGACTTGAATCTCCTGAACTTCCCCTTCTTCTCTATCCTTTTATAACCATGCTCTTCAATATTTTTTCTTACCATTGTCACTTTTTTTTTTTTTTTGAGAGGTTTTTCCTATAGGGTGCGTGCACTCGCCAGAAAGACAGAGAGACAGAAAATGAGAAATCACCCCGCCAGGTGGCTGAAATCCTTTTTCCTCCATTTTCCTCTCAGGATCTTGAGCATGCATGCACATCCGTCTGCCATGAGTTTAAACCACTGGGTCCAGGACCCGAACCATGGTCGACTACATGTGTGTCCAGCAACATAACCATTACGCCAACTACTGGTCCCAAGTTTTGTGTGCTTTCTACAATTATCTTTTTTTTTGTTTGTTTTTTGGAGAGGTTTTCACTATAGGGTATGTGTTCTCGCCAGATAGACAGAGAGAGACAGAGAGACAGAAAGTGAGAAATCACCTCCCAGGGGGGATGGCCATGCCAGAATCCCTTCTCCTCCATTCTCCTCTCAGGATCTTGGGCATGCACGCACACGTACCCAGCGTGAATTTTAAGCCACCAGGTCCGGGACGCAAACCGCGGTCGACTATGTGGGAGTCTAGCAACATAGCCGTTGCGCTAACTGCTAGTCCCCCCTACAATTATCTTTATCCACAAAAATACTATATACTGATTAGCATGTTTATAAGCATCATATAAATAGTATTAAATATGTGTTATATATAATAAATTATTATTATAGTATTATATATAAACATATAAATATGTATAAAATACATAACCTTTTCCTTTTTTTGCTTTATCCAAAATTGTTTCGGAGATATATTCATGTACCTATCATTCATTTAGTATTTAAATGTGTGAATATACCATACCTAGTATTTTTAAATTTATATATGTATAAATTTGTGTGTGTGTGTGTGTGTGTGTGTGTGTGTGTATTTTTCTCCATGAGAGACAGAGAGGGAGGAAAGTAGAGTAAGATAGGCACTCCCAACAGAGTATGCCAGCCTGGGTCACAGGCATGTGTGCATGCCTGGTGTGTTCAGAGGTCCTAGAATGTGAACCCAGGATCTTTCCCATGCAGAAAAAGAACTGCTGAATTGCTGCCTGAGTCACAGTGTTCTTTATACAGTGATTTCTTCTACATTGTTTATAGGAGGCTTCCACCACTTATTATTATTACATTCTCTCTTTTACAGATGAGGGAACTGAGGTGAGTAACTACATGACTAATCCAATGCAGTTGGTCAGTAACAGGGCAAGGATGCAAAGATTCCAAAAATTCCCCTGAATCTAATATTCATATTAGTTACATCAGCAACAAGTTATTTGTATATATTTTATATATGTATTAGTTGCTTGTTACATCAGCCACAAGTAACAGCTAGCTTTGTACTGTTCTATGCATTTACTCTATGTTTTTGCTTTATCCAAAATTATGTTTCAAATATTGTTATGTTTCAAATATTGTTATGTACCCTGTGAACAAATATTATTCTAGGCACCTTGGGATCAGTAGCAACAAGACAACAAGGTCTGCATCTTCATTTAATTTACCTTAGTTCATTAAGTCTTTAAAACATACCTCTTAGATGTATACTATGCCCATTCACATATAGAAATAAAATAACACTCTAGATTCATGGTAGTAATATCAACTGCTTGGAGTCACAGAGATAATTAGTGGCTAGCCTGAATCCAAGCTGAGTTCCCGAACTTCTTGCCCTGGATCTTATAGCCCCCACTTACTGACAGGGAATACTGGACCAGCTCGCTGCTCACCTGACTCCTCAAACTGCCGGTTGTGAGTGGCCCAGGAGTCCTGGATCTGCAGTAGGCTGTCTTCCATGGCCTGGATGTCAGCATCAGGGCAGTTGCATTCTGGGAAGGTAGGGCTGCACTTGCACCAGCAGTCATTCTCCTTGCAGATGAGCTCACCCTCAGAGCTGCATGTGATGTAGCTGAGCGCTGCAGTCACAAAGCGCTCACGCAGGTACTCGGGCAGCAGCACCTGCAGGCCTAGGGCAAGGATGTGTCAAGGAATCACTAGGCAAAACGAGTGGAGACTCTGTTTCCCATACCTAAGGCTGCAGAATCCCCAGTTGGGGTTCTGCTGACTTGTACATCTTGGACCCAAGGATGGCCACCCCAGGGCTTGATCCTGCTGAGCTGGTTGGGAGAGAGGGCTACTGCTGCCCCATGACAGATGGGGGAGGATCTGAAAATGCAGATGAGGAACATCAAAGCCTGAGGCTTAGCCAAACCCCTCACATCAGCCAAACCTAGAGCATGAATATCATAAGAACAGGATTATAGGCGACACATCAGCATTTCTAAGATAGAAATGGGAAGATGTTTCAGATAAAAGAAATGCTTACAGCCCTCATGGGGGAGGAATTAAAGCTTGATGGGCTTTTGGCCCTGTATCTGAGAGCCATCCTTTTTCTAGCCTAAAATTAGCACTACACCTCCTGGGACATTATTGAATGCTGACTTTCCTGGGCCTCCCACCTCAGCACTGATGACCAAGGAGGCTAGTCTGGACAAGAGGTAGGGACAGGTATTGTGGGTATAAGTGAACATTATGCCAGCTACTTTCTAGATATGATTTCAAGTCATGGATGTACTAAGTTTCTGTAGATGAGGAAATCCGAGCTCAAAGACCACAGTGACCTGTCCATGTCACAGAACCAGTAGGCTCTACTTGGTGTCAACCCTGTCCTCATCCTATCAGATCATACAGTATAACTGGTACTGGCTGCTCCATCTCTACAGGATTTAACTCTTAAGGAGACTTGAAAGTAGGATGGTAGTCAAATGCCCTGAGATCTTTTCTTTTTTTTTTTTTTTTTTCAATTTGCCTCCTCTGATTTGGCTAAAATGTACTAAATCTCTTCAAACTTCTGTGTTCTCACATGTCTGTGGTGGATATCAGTTTACCAGTAGTAGAACACACTCCTAGTTGGCTTTGAGCCACACATAAGGCAGCTAGCTGTTAGAAGCTTACCAAGGGGTGAGCAAAAGATAGGCATGACTTCAGGTGCAGTCTGGGCCATGTTTAAGGTCAGAACTGCAGGGAGCTCCCCCAGTAGACCTGATGCCAAGAGAGTGAGGAACATGAAGACTTCTGGATTTGATGAGCTCCCCTTTCCTCAAATGTCTGCCAGCACTTTATTTTCACACCCTTGACCTTGTGCTTGGCAGGAAATCAGAGAGCCCAAGGTGTATATCCCAGTCCAGCAGACCTCAAAATATAACTTAAAATTGACAGCAGCCATGGATGTTTGTGTTCTTGCTCAAGGTCTACCTTCTATTCTAAAGTGCTCCTAAATTTTCTTGTCTTGAAACTGTGCCCACCTTGAGTGGTCCTCCCCCATACCCTGTCCACCACATGCTGGCTTTCAATACTCACCCTCTCCAAGTCCTTTCCTTTCACCTCCCTGCACCACCACCCTCCTCACCAGAACATTTCCCATTGCTATAAAATAAGTGCCCTAAGCAATGGCTGCATGAGTGATGGGCTATAAAATTAAATGGTATAAACTATTCCAAATGAACCACCAGACATTTTGAACTTCACTCATCACTAATTTCCAGACACAAAACAGGTCCATCCAGCAACACAGGAGAAGAAGGATGTTAATTGCATTAGGTAGCTTTAAATAAAGTAGTCTTTTACTCCTCTTTATTTTATATATATATCTTGATTCCTAAAGCATTGCTGGGTTGCATATGGCTCAGGTTGCCTGGAATTTGTAATCATAGATCCTGGGTGAGGGCTATTGATTTTGTAATGCTGAGACAATAATATCTTAAACAGAGTCCGATTCAGTTAGGCCTTAAGAAAAATGAACTTTTCCCACTGAATCAGTCTGCATAGCCCTACTGCTAGGATGCTTGGGGGACTCAGAGCTGGAGATGAACACCTCTCCTTATCTCCTAGCTTCCAGACATAGTGTGCCACACTTTCCTTTTTCTGTTCAAGTTTCGTTTGTTTTGCCTCCAGCCTAAAGACTCCCATTACTCTCAAATTCTTGTTTCAAATTTCTCATGGAAGATCACAGACTAATAATAGAAAACAGGGGCTACTCTCAGGCTGTGATTGTCAATGTTCTCACAGTTTGCATAGCTCTTAGTTGAACTGGAGATGGTGGCCCTCAACTGCTTTGCAAAGGCCAGCTATTCCCCAATGTGTTTATAGGATAAAACAGAGGGCTTGTTGGGAGGGAGGGGGGGGCAACAAAGATCACTGACTAGGTCAAAACTTATAAGGATATATGTGCTATTCCTCTTAGGATAGTGATGAAGGTCTGAGAAGAAATATGGGTTGGGAGGATTTAGGTGTCAAGTAGTATGAGCAATGGGTGTTAGATATTGGGTAAACCCTACCAGAAGCTTTCTCTAGAAAGTGATGGCAAGTTGTAGAATACCGCCCCCATTCTTGTCTTAAGAAGGGTTTAACTAAATCAGGCAGGACTTTTCACTGCTCTTTGGTGATCCAGGTGTAAATAGTGTAAACACAATCATGGTACTACTTACCCAGCAACTGTACTTTGTTCTCTGGACTTTGCACCAGGACAGAGCTGACTGAGTCCAGATTGTCATAGTTGCTGCAACCCAGAGGACCAGTCCTGGTTTCTGTGACCTAGAGAAGGAAGGAGTAAGGTATAAATTTAGATGAGATGTGGATACATTCCCTTTGTGCTTCTCTTCTTTAATGATACAATCCTGGGCTCTGTGTCTTGTCCTTAGCCAGCTAAAAGAATGGTATGTGCCTTTCCCTATCTCAGGAGCATAAAGTCACTTTTCTTGCTTGTCCTGAGTCATTCTCAGTCTGTGATATATGGCTGGCAGCAGCAGTTGTACATAAGTGGATCTCTTTCAGAGAGTGCCAAAGGGAATTGTGTCTGGGAAGAGAAAATTCAATGTAGTCAGAGGAAGCTGGAGGAGGAGGGAGACCTTTAAGCAAAAGTCACCCATTCTCCCTTAGAGGAAGGCAGGGGGGCAAGATGTCATGTCTGTGAGCCTGCTGGTGAGCCCAGCTGCATCCACTTGATGTGGTGCTCAGAGACTTCAGGAATCCCAATGATGAAAAGCACTAGAGAAATATGACTTATGAGTATTATTATTAGTATTAAACATTTAAGTCCCACCTCGGCACTGAGACGTCCTTAGAGAAAATCAGCCATGGACTTACTGCATATTTTAATAAGTATATTAAATATACATAAACTCTTATAGCCATGTAATATTCCACAACACCATAGAGTCATTTTAAAATATTATAAAGTTGGCCCATCAGTTTTCCCTGATGTTTAAAGTATAAGATGAAAAATGGGGAGCTTTAAATGCATTGAAATAATTATGTAGTAAGAATGATGGGGACTGGAGGCCCTTTCTTCTCAGGATCTCTGAAGTCTTTGCCAACAATCAATCAACCAATCAACAAGTATTTATTGAGCAGCCACTGTTCAATTCCATACAATTCATCAAACATTCATAGAGTGCGTTTTCTGGAGTTCTTCAGGGAAGTCCATCCAATACCTCTGACCTCTTCATCTGGCTTAAAACACCTCTGCTTTGCAGTAGATATACGAGTTAGTTTTCTATCCTATTCTGTGAGTATTTATTTATGGGCCTCACAAATTACAGTTGCCAAAGAAATAAGCTCATATTTATTTTACTGGCCATGCTGTTGGCAGCAATTAATAGAGTGTCTGGCACATAGTAGGTACTCCTTAAGTTTGAGAATGTATGAGCAATGTATTCTAGGTTTGGAAGAAGGGATGGGCACGAAGATGTCCAAGTGATATACTGCATCCTCAGGGAGGCAGGCACACACACAGCACAATACACACTCAAGTCATAATGAGCACCAAGAAAAGCACAACTCTAAACAAAGAGAATGAGGAGCAGATATCTTCTGAGTTGATCCTTAAGGGTAAATAAGAAGTGGACAGGTAGAGACCGGAAAGAAACATACTTTTAGAAAAAGAAGGGGTGTGTGAGCTTCAGTGCATGGGCTCTAAAATGCATAGGACAGGTGCAGGTGCATAGTGTAGGGCAGGTTCTGGTGCATGGAACAGGTGCAGGTGTATAGTGCAGGGCAGGTGCCAGTGCATAGGACAGGTGCAAGTGCATAGTGTAGGGCAGGTGTAGGCACATAGTGCAGGTGCAGGTAGATGTGTAGTGTAGGGCAGAGGCCGGTGCATGGGACAGGTGCAGATGCTATGTAACATAGTAAATACAAACTGTAAGCCACATATTTCATGGGATTTTAGTTTACTAGGCTTAAAATATACACTGGAACAAAGTAAACAAGTGAGGGATAGTGTGATACTGACTAGAAGTACAGGGAAGAGAGAGATGGGAGAGACCCTTGCAGCTGACTTTAAGGGTGAGGTGAGGCATAAATTGGTCTTGACAGATGAGTAGGGGTAATATGGAAGGAAGAAGGAATTAGAAAAAGAGAGAGAGCTCCAGACCAAGACCAAGGGATAGATAGTGGTGCATGGGATGCAGCCACCAGCCTGTCTGAATGATGACCAGTTTCCCAGTTAAAATGGTGGAGTGTGGCATTTGGTAGCCTTGCCTTCCCTACCTCCAGGTAAGCTGGCCACCACATTGTCACTGAATTCTGCAATGGCTTTTCCACTCACCCCCTCTCATCCTAAGATGGTCACTTACCAGCTATATCCTGGCAGGACAGATCAGAGAAGAGCTACAGCTGGACCTAACCTTTTCCTTTCTGATCCCCATACCTGTTCCTCCTCCCCTCCCTCCATCTGCTTACCTCCACTACCACCATGTTGGTCATTTCTGGGCTGCCTTTGATGTTAATTTCTGATCTCTACTCTGCTGTTTTCAAAGGTGAGTTCCACAAGAGGATAATCAGTTAAGACACC